CACACACACACACACACACACACACACACACACACACACACACACACGTTGAATGACTGCTCATTAAACGAGAACTCATCTTTCATAATTTATGAGCCTCCATCTTTGCAGTAGAACTTGTATGCAGCTCAGACTTTCAGAGAGAGGACTATGTTGTGATTTCAGAATATGATCAGCAGTAGGTTGGGATGATGATCTGGGATGTACATAAACGTGTGTGTGTGCTTTCTCTTCTCTTACCCAGTCGGGCCGTTCTCCGAGGTCTCCCTGAGGCTCATGGGAAGGGACGCTGTAGTCTCGCACCCCTGTGGTGAACTCCACAGGACCCGTCCCAGGCAGGGGAAGCCTCAATAACGGATAGCTAGGAGAGAGATGGGGGAGGGGGGGTCACAGAGTGCATAATAGATATATGAAACACAATTGTGGGAATGATTGAACCTCTCAAAGTCTGCCGTCTGTTGGAAATTCAGCTCAACTGTTATTCGAAGCGGAACATCAGTGCTGGAACATTTAACCCATGAACGCAACATTTAGGCAATAGTTAGGACTCTCTGCAGAAGAGCTCATAACCAGCGGATACGTGATACACACATGCGTGATGTGCATGTGTGTTCGCGTGTGCGCGATGCAACACCTCCAGAGAACCCGACACCTGGGCCTCCGGCTTTTCTTGAAAGATTAAGCGCTACCTGGAGAGATCTCCTCCCAGGTCCTCCTGAAAATGAGAGGGTCCTTATAACACGTTCCCTCGAGACACCAAACCAACCTCATTTCTTTCCCAGTGTGTGTGTGTGTTTGAGGTTAGCAAGTTCATTTTAAAATGGTGGTGTTGGGCAACCCTAAACACAGCTGACAGATGAGCTTGCAGTGGCAGTAGGAGAGATGGATGGATACCCACAGAAAAGAGAAAAGAGTGCGTCTGTGTTCCTGACTTATTTCTTTCTGCTGAGGGATCCTGTAGACCCACCACCAACAAAAACACGGTTAATTACAATCCTTACAAATCCACAGTCGTGGGAGAGACACTCATCACTCAAACACTACTAATGCGAGGAGTCAGGCTGACATTAGTCAGGTGTGATGTCAAGAGCAGCTTCTACAGCCGTGACGTTGAAAGGACCTAGAGGAGCTCATTTGAGTGTTTTTTTGACAAATGTTGTGTGGTTCCAATCATGGTTATATTCACGTACGTCTGGAAATTAAATTATGTTAAATAAAAGTGTTTGAGATCAAGTCTTGGTATTTCTGTTTGTATTATCTGGAGGAGAGATTGGGAGGATCTGGAAAATGATTGCAAAACTGAGGAGCGAGTGATGAAGTATTTTCCGAGTCACTGTTGTTGATCAGTAACATTATCACGAGGACAAAGTGCATCGTCGCTTTGTGCCGTTGGTCAGTACAAATATTACTCTTTGAAATGTGCTTGTCAGTTTGGATAGAAACTTTACTTCTCTCTCTGTCCCTCTCTCTCTCCCTCCCTCCCTCCCCCACTCAGCAAGGTCACTGTACCTCCACAAAGGCCTCTTTTGTGCTCAGCCGGCCCCCCTCCTGACAGGCAGATGGAGGGACAGGCCTCCCATTCTCACAAGGGCCATTTTCTCACAGCCCTCTGCTCGGGGGCCGTGCCTTTAACATCCCCGTCTTCAAGCTCCTTTTCCTTTCACCTCACCCCGGGGTGGCGGTCGGTCGTCCATTCACTCTGCTCCCCCGCTGCAAAGGTGCCGTGAGGACGGCTCGCAGCAGGTGCTTGTGTGTGTGCGTTTCGGATTGCTGAGATTGTTTCACAAAGCCTCCGCTGATGCACTCGGGCCAACTCTCTGACCTGTGTCCTCTCTTTTGACCAGCAGAAAAGCAGAAATGTGCGTGTGTTAAGTGAGTGTTTGTGCCGTGGTGTCGGCGGGGGGTGTGTGTGAGTGTGTGTGTGTGTGTGTGCAGATGGTCAGTTCAGACGAGCTGAGCCGGTTACTTGTCTAACCAATCACTTTCCCTTCAGTTCAGTCTGTCTACACACGACAGCAAGATTGATATAGTCTCATTTAAAAAAGTCTGCACTGAGAAGCAGCTACTCTTAAAAGATTTGACAAAATATTCTCAGTATCAAATACTGCTTACTAATAAGTCACGTCAATCTTTTATCCTTTAGTATTTATGGATAGACGCTGTTAAAGCGTTCTTAAAAAGGTGTTAAATTCAAAATTCAGATTGCAACAATGTTGAGGTATATAGTGGATCAATTTCTAACTGAGCAGAGAATAAAATGATTATCCCTCTGTGTGGCATGAAGCCGATGCGGAAGTGTCTTAAAACTTGCATTCTCTCTAGTGTCCAGCAGGGGGCGACTCCTCTGGTTGTATAGAAGTCTATGAGAAAATGACTCTACTTCTCTCTTGATTTATTACCTCAGTAAACATTGTAAACATGAGTTTATGGTCTCAATCTCTAGTTTCAAGTCTTCTTCAATACAGCATGATGTTCATTTAGTACATTATGGTCCATTTAGAGTCAAAAAGACCATAAAGCAGGGGATGCTTTAGGGCGGGGCTTACTGTGATTGACAGGTCTCTGCAGCTGCCAGAGCCGAATTATTTGTCTCTACGTCACTCCTCCGCAGTCCAAATATGGTCACTTCCGTGCATTTGTAGCGAAAAAAACAACATGGCGACGGCCGTAATCGACAAACTACAGGCTTCAAAACGTCAGTCCACAAACCAATGAGTGATGTCATGATGACTCCGCCCACTTCTTATATACAGTCTGTGGTCACTTGCACACGCTGACGACTACATTTACCCATTTTGTGATTTTTGGGTCGGCACCCATCATACTCTACCACTGATAGCGTCCCGACTCACGGCGTCACTGCAGAAGTGTTCACAGAAACCTCTCAAAGCCCTCCTACGTTATGATCATCTGCTGCGTTGTGGATCACTGAACCTTAACCTAAATACTCAAAGTTTCTCCACAACAGAGACAAATACCGTTGATCTAAAAATAGCTTAAATCAGCACTTACTGTACAGTAAGGCCACTTTACTGTATCATAAGGCGTTGTCTGATACTTTGAATACTACCTGTATTCCTATTGAAGCTTCAAATGTCTAGCTGCCAAAGACATAGCCATTCATCCAAACTTTGAGCATCGACACACTAAAAACCGAACACCTACCAGCAGGTGAGGATGCTGGCGGAGGTGAAGAGGATGATGGGTACTGGGTAGGAGGCACACAGCAGCCCGTGGCGGTAGAAAGCCGCCGAGATCTTGTCTCTCAGCTGCTCGCGCAGCGTCATCCTGGTGGGCGGGGTCAACTTCCGGCCATTGGGAAGCACTGCGCGGCCGAGGACGGAGCGCCGCGGGGCATCCAGGGACCTGGAGGAGCAACGAGACAACACTTTAACAGACCATTAAACCAAACGTACATGTACACAAGTCATTATTTTGTTTCCCCACACACATTCACCTCAACAGCTACATCACACACAGTTGGTATGAATACCAACTGCTATACTTAAAAAAAACTTTATTAAAAATCTCATCAATAAATTGTTTTCGGGGAAAAATACCAAATGGTTGCTGCCTCATATATACACTCAGTCTTCTCATTTCATTACTTCATGAAGTACTTTTTTTAAGGGGTTACTAGGCAGATTTGCTAAAGATAAAACTTGTGAATTAACAGATTTCCCCTTTAGTGTATGAGGTGTCTGAAATGGCCATCACACGTTCATAGAGCTCTTCAAATAGCTGGTTTTGTCCAGTTTAAGAAGATACTAAATCTACAATTACATAAACCAAAGAAAAACAGCAAATACAATCAATTGTTTGGCACTTCTGCTTGACCATGACTGAAACAATTAGTCAATTATCAAAACTTTGGTCTATACCGACAACTTGTTGTGATGCAGCGCTGGAGAGTTTAAACCAGTAGCTGGTGAATCATTATGGGTAATGTTGATGTCCCATAACCATCTATACGCATTTAGAGTTGCCTTCACCCTGTATGTGATCTCTCGCTGCATGCTGTTCATTTTGTAAATTATGGTCCATTTAGAGTCAACCGATAAATGGAAGTGACGTAGCTTTAGGGCGCGCTAACTACGTCACTTCCATTCATCGGTTGCGGAAAAAAACAACATGGCGACGACGAAATTGCCGAACTCGAGGCCTCAATACGGAAGTCCACAAACCAACGGGTGACGTCACGATGACTACGTCCACTTGTTATACACAGTATGTGGTTCATACACGTGAAACAAGTATTTATTAACCTCTCGGGGTACGTTTTTATAAACAAATCTACTACACATGCGCTCAGAGGCCGGTTCCCAAAGTGAAGCTCTGTCCTCAACACATAATTAGTGACATACTCCACATTTTGGCACCTGTGCTGCTGACTGACGGCACGGTGTGTGTGCGCGTGTTTCCTTCAGCTCGTACAGGGGTCACATGTCTTTAAACACACAGCTCATTGAGCAGCCACAGAGGTGTGGACACATCCACCCCAGTAGAAAACATAAAGACTCCGTGGCTGAGCAGCCTGACTGAAGCACACAGACGTGTCATCGATCACACAACAACAAACCACCAGGTTCACTCAGGGGGGGGGGGCACAGAGGGGTAAGCTGGCCAAAGAGGGGCGAGAGCAGCTCCTTTAAGTGTTTACAAGAAAATGAATCAATTCACAGATTGACAAATATTATACAATTCAATAGTTTCATTCATCATTTAATTGGCAGAAACATTCACGCATCTAAAACATGAGAATTTACTGCATCACGTTTTTAATCGTAAAATTGAGTTTCAGTTGCAGGCAGCCCCGACTTTTACACGGTTATGAAATTAAGGAAACAGATGATCAAAAGTGCATACATTTGACAGCTAAATTAATCAGCAAATTGGCAAATATTTTATGATTAATCGTTAAAGTTTACAAACAGTCACTGTTGCACTTTTCCAGCGTGTGGATTTGATGACTTTCTGTGTTAAATATTACGGTAAACTCGGCTCTGGTCTGCTGGCTGGACTAAACCAGATGTTTGATGATGCCTCTATATGGCCTTTAGGACATTTTATTACCAAGTTCAATATATTTGGGTTTTGAGCTGTAAAATGTAGGTTTACTGCCATAAACTGTGTGTCACTACTATGCATTACATTAATCAAAAACTTTTAATTTGGTTCGTTTTTAAATTACAATTGCTTTGAATAAGAAATCTGTAAAACGATAACACAGTATGTTCAAACCTAAACAATACGATTCCACTGACACCCAGTCATTGAATTAATAATATTGACTATATAAATATATAAATATACATTGCATATCATCATTGCTCTGTGACTGCCTGCAGCCTCAACATTGATTTTGGTAACTGTGAATCAGAGTACAATACAATGTGGAATCCTTTGTTTGGTGGCTTCACTTCCCTTCAAACTAAATCAGTTCCTTCAGTTCCTCGTATCGACTGGATCTCCTGTTGACGTGCCTGCTCAATCTCAGCCCTCGTCTCTCTCTGTTTACTCAGCAGACCGGCTCAGCGCTGCCTGTCGAGTGTTTGTAGTTACACAAATGTTTAACCGGCTGCCCGGGCACACGCACCGCAGCTGGATTAGTACAGTGTGTCATGCTACCCGACCACTGAGCCTCAGCCTTTCACCCGGTGTCACTAAGAGAGCGCTGCGTTATATGCCAACCGTGCCAAAAAAACACACAACACAGCTCCGTCGCGGCAGCCGTTACCACGATACACATCCATCACGCAAGCGTGGAAGTGTTCTGAGACCATACCTGCTGGCGGGAGACCAGGTTACCTCTCTGGCTCGCAGCCGTCTACGTCCCCTGAAAGCAGCGGCGGAGGGTATTTTAAGCGTAAGCGGCGCCTTGTGGTTAACGTAGTGCTCCCCTCTCGATCCGGGCAGAGTGTGCGACTGCTCGGCTCGTCCCCCCGGGTGCAACGGAAACATTCCCCGGGAGGAATTCGCCCCAGGAGTCTCCTGATCTGCTGTTATAAATACCCTAAAACAGTTATAACAGGCACCGTCCTGGGACGCTCGCACAATGGGTTCTGCAAAATGTCAAAACAGGCTTTGAAGCGACGCCTTTCTGCTCTCCGTTTCCGTAGGAAGGTCCACTCTCGGTCGGGGTCCCGCTCACTTTCTCGCGAGGGGAAACTTTTTAGGGAATGCCTCCATCTCCCTGCTGTTTGTCCAGGTCACTGCGTGCTGTGTGGGGGTTACATTAGTGGAGCAGCGAGACCTGATTTGGCAAAAGGCTCAGCAGCGTCTCCGTCAGTAAACTAATCCGGGATTTGAACCGATCGGAAACTCAGCGAGCAGGGCTCAGAGACTGCAGGGCAGCCCGGTCCTGCAGGCTGCAGCACCCCGACACATCCACACCTCAAAAGCACCAAAAGTTTGAAAACCAAAAAACTTCACAACCAGAGAAGAAGAATAAATACGAGTGCTGTTGTTTCAGGCTTGTGGGTTAGTGTTCCCTTCAGCCACTTTGGCAGGTGACCAGCAATTGTTTAGACATCCTATTCTGTCCGGCCGGTACCAGCTACTACGGCTGGAGGAATAAAAACAACATGTATGCTTAAACCCAAATAAATATCCATGACATCGCGATGGAAAAGGTCTCAGTTAAATAACCCCGTGGCAGCTAATATCCGAACAAAGAGCGGTCTATATGCGTCCCACGTGAGGAGCCAGCACACAACAAAAACACAGCCAGAGACGTGACAGACACAGGGTCTCACACTGCGAGCTCCAATTCAGTTTGGGAGATCATTTGTAGGTCTCTGCAGCTCAATTAGGTGGCTAATAGATGTATAAAGCCACATGGTTACAACACTACTGTGAGCTAAAGTAATGCACGAAGTTTAAGGATGACCTGTCAGAAAACTGTGACAACAGAAATAAGAAGCACAGGCTTACCTCTTTTCAACACTCCCTAAAATGCTTAACTTGAAAGCATCTCCGGGGCTTAGAGATTCAAATGGCATATCAGCTATTTTCTGTATCATCCAATGCATTTCTACGCCTTGTCAATAAACAGCTTCCAGTGAAGGCCACAAACTACCCCCCCAAACACATTCCAGAGAGTTTTTAGGCCGTGTCCGTTCTCCGTAACATAATCGAGACTCAATCCCACAGTTGCATAATGTGAAAGCGTGCTCCTCTGATCAGTGACGCCCATTAGTCCCGCTGTACAGACGAGCAGAAGATTACTGCAACGCAGCCTTTTACTACCGGAGCTGACGGCAAGAGAGGGACATGTCCCGTCAATCAGTAACTATAGTGTCACAGGGGCTGGTGTGTAACAGGCTGTCTGCTTCTGCACGATGACTTCTCACCATGTATTAAGAGGAAGAAGAAGAAAATGAGGACACACTAAATTAAGTCAATTTTGTTTTGATTTTTAACACAATTTTACACTTCAAATTTCATCTTTCTCCAGCACATGTAACCTGTCTTTCCAATTTAGTTCACGTTGAACTAGATGAAATAACTATTGCAAGACAGTGAACACATGCTGGATGATGGGGGCTGATGCAACCCTGAGGCAACATCATCACCTGCCAGGAACCAGGAGGCGCCGGTGGCCTCCAAAGCCAGAGAGACCACAAAGGTTCAAGGATTGGGCCTCAAGTAAATAGTGTGAAAGTGTAAGTTTACTGTTATTACGAGGTAGACTTTGACACAATGACGAGGCAGATCAGGATTTACCTCAGATTGAGTAATAATCCATCACAACCAAACAACAGTTCACAGCCTGAGACAACAATTTAATAATCTAACACGAGATGATGTAGAAACCACTGGAGCATGGACATAATGTTCTAATTTACTCTGTCTCTCTCTCTCTCTCTCTGTAAGTCTCTCTGTAAGTCTCTCTCTCTCTCTCTCTCTCTCTCTCTCTGTCTCTCTCATTTGCACAAGTAAATAATGTCCTTATTTATTACATTTTACTGCTACACAAATATGCAAAGATAACACACAAATACAAGCCTGTTTGAACTGACTGGTTGAATGTTTATTTCTTTATTTAAAGAATCTGCTGTCAAGCTGTGAAAGCAGCTAAGCTAACGTTAGCCACCAGCATCTTAAAGGGTGTATTCGATATAAGTTATATTAAAACGTTGGTATCCCCGTATGTATCTAATATACACACACATGAATGTCTGAATAATTAAATATGTAAGAACTCTAGAATTAATGACACAAACCCACTGCCGCTAATCGTTAGCTTGCTACCTTTACATGAGAGCGTGTGTAACTTAGCTAGCGTTAGCTGGTTTCTCGTGTAAACAATCTATAAACCAGATAATTTAAATAAAACCGAGACCAACTTTATGCTCGTTGTGTTCACAGCAACAACCAAGTACGCACATACAAATATGACGTTTCTTGTACCTTATTTGCACCTGCAGACGACTTGTGATGGCACCAAGCTAAATGCTAATATACGTAGAATGAAAGCGCCTCCAGCTAATGTTAGCCCACGGAGCTAACTTTCGCCACACAGCTAGCTAATGCTAACGTGGTTATAGCTTTCACACACTTGCCTTGCGGTGATGCTTCTTCTGGGTAAACTGGCAAAGCAACCCGTCGTGTTATTCCTTTGTTTTGTGAATTAGTAAAGAAGGCTATCTTGTGTGTGCCTCGGCCGCTGACATGCAAGGAGCAGCGTTTTTAGAAATACTGGTTGTCAAATCCCAGAGAGACGTCTCACCCTCTCCACTCCGACCTCTCACCTCCTGCAGCAGGACGAGCGATGAGAGGGCGACCTCTAGTGTTCACGCAGACAATTACAACATCTTACACTTTTATTATATTCAACCAAAACCCATTCATGGTAAAGAATAATCAACTCATGTATTCATTGTTATTCTCTCAGCCACATACCAGCACTCACTTTGACCAATGTGTATTTTTTGTTTATTGGTCGGTCCATTAATGTCCACTTACCATCACAAATATATAACGGTTTGCATGCATGCTTGTCTGCATTCAGTGCAGGCCTGCATGTCTGCATTCAGTGCATGTCTGCGCACAAAAAAACAGATTCAACTAGTAACCAAATATTGACAATGGCATGAGTTCGCAGTTATACCTTCGAATAGCTGAAAGAAAAAAAGAAGTTCAGAGGTCTAGATGCAGGCGAACAGCTGGCAGCATTACTGCGTCCTTCCTCCGGACAGTCTGAGGTCCAGGCTGGGTCGTTGACACACTGGCGAGCATCCAAACGTAAAGCCCGACTATGGTTGGCGGATTTGTCCGGTACACCAACTACTTTGGCAGCTAAACACCCCGCTTGTGTTGTCAGGTGACTTTAAAATATAACAGTCAGATGTCACCGTGTAAACGAGACAAAAGGCAAAACAAGGACGCTGAACGGTGGAACTAGAGGACAGCGCTGGACGTCCCGGGAGCAAAGAAGGAGGCTCCTTTGTCATGGACCTTGTACTGAAAGAGTTTCTTCTGAGTGTGATGCCCATCGCCTTGTCTCCTCCTCCAGCACACTTCTACCTGAAAACAAAAAACACTATTGCTTTACTTACATCTTTACTGTGGAATATGTTTGTGACTTGCACTGATCCCTTCCAATATATACTGCAGATATACAATATGTAACCTTTAACAGACCATGTGACACGTGTGTCTCTATTTCTGTCACTATTATCAGTTTTACTCAGATATTAATACTTTAAACATGGTAAAATCCAAAAACAAAATGGTCTCCTCACCATAATTTAATCTAGGTTATTCATGATGCAGATAACGGTTACATTGGTAATAGTTGTGAACACAAAAGCAGATTTATTTTTTCATCTACATGTCAAACTCTGGGCTGAAATGACTATCTGATATATGAATGAGGGGATCCAAAAAAATACAACTGTAACAAATTCAATAACTGATTGATCACCAAATTATTCTCCACATGTTCCAGTTAATTGTCTTCTATACAAACTCTTGGTTGGACAAAAGTCAATTTAAGGACAAACACTCACCTGCCCGTGTATGTCCCTGCAGTAGCCGGTGGGGAGACCCTGTACATGAAGAGTGAGGCTACACTGGTGGGTCAGGCCCTTCAGAAGTCTCTCTGAGCCTTCATCATCTCCGTCGTCCTCCTCTTCTCCCCCATCACAGCGGGACAGCATCACCACGTTGCCCTGCAGTCACAGTTATGTTGATAAGACAAGTCTGATGACGGCAGAAGTCCCGTAAAACATCTCAAACAAATCTTTGACAGCAAGGATCTGACCTGTAGCTGGGAGCAGACGGTGGCTCGGCAGTAGTGGCTGAAGTCCAGCACGGCTCCAACGCTCACCCCCAGACTCAGCAGCACGCTGAGGTCATCCACCAGCAGCACCGGGGGTCCCCACTTCTCCTCCGCCTCATGTTCCCCGACGCTGGAACTGGTCGCACTGGACCGGACAAACTCGTAGAGACTCTTCAGGCCAACGGAAGGATCCCTGAAGACAAGAGACATGAGGGAGGTGAAGATGATGAGAGAGAGAGAAGAGAGAGGAGCAACACTATGTCAAACTGGCAAATGTGTGGAAGTCTGGAAATATGTGGAAAAATGTATATATTTTACATCTTGATACGTTGGAAACCAGATAGAAACTTGAGTAAATGTAATACTGTTGGATTAGTTATCCAGATAGAGACACTCAAATAATTACAATGTTTACAAATAAACAGTGATGCCATATGAGCATGAAAATATACAAGTCTGTACAGGTACGAAGCTGTGATTATTTGTTTGTACCTGAGGAAGTCCATGGCTTGACTTCCTGGGTCGGTGTCTTCAGGAATCAACACAGAGAGCGACTCCTTCAGTCCCTCTAAGAAAACCAGCTGACCCTTTTCCTTGGCTTGTGTTAGGCTGACACCCTGAGACAACAGATATACACACGTGTAAATGTCATCACTTGTGATAGCGCCAAGCTTAAGGCTAATAACATACACAGATAGCAAACACCTAGCTATGTTAGCTCCTCAGTAAACCCAGTGAACCAGGGTCCCGATCAATATGTATTTAAGAAATTAACTAGAAAAGCTTGTGGTGAACAAAAATGGGGTCATACATGCCACGAGGGGTCAGAGTCAATGTGTGCCCGAACCTTAAAACTAAAAGACTAAGAAGACACGTCAGCATTTTACTCAATATACAACAAGTTGTAACAAATTATTAGGATTTTAGTTTTAATACGGAGCCACTGGAGCTCAGTGGCAGTGTAAACATCAAGTAAACAGAACCGGGACGACAACAGTGGAGACTCACCAGTCTCTGACTGATCGCACTGTAATGATTGAAGGACTGCACCAGACCCACAAACCACACTTTGCAGCGTGCTGAGATAAAGAGAGAGAGAGAGAGAGAGAGAGAGAGAGAGAGAGAGAGAGAGAGACATCATCAGCTAAATAAACTGTAACAGACATGAATTAACAGTTTCTCTCATTTTGATAAGACAAGATAAAATAAGATAATCCTTTATTAGTCCTGCAGTGGGGAAATGTACAGGATTACAGAGACAAAGTGGAGTATATATATATATATATATATAAATATATAGTATAGTAAGTATATAAGTATTATAAATAAGTAAATAAGTAATAAAACAGTAAACAATATTAAATAAGTATAGAAAGACAGAGAGAGAGAGAGCGAGAGACAATAACTAAATAATAACTACAAATATTATATATATATATAATATTTGTAGACAGAATAAAAACTGTGTATTTATATTGCACAGATTTTGGGTGTGTTGTGTGGTCTACTGGGAGCACAGCTGGTTGGAAGGAAGTAATAATAGTCATAATAATAATACTAATAATAATAATAAACATTGACAGGCGATAACTCACCTCGCAGGTACAAAGAGAGGAAGTGGTGAATAAGGAAAGAGGCATCACTCTGTCTGTCTGACAGCAGGACAAACTCCCCCTGTAGAATACAGAGCAACGACATACGCTTAATATGATAAACATGGCTGCTGTGTTACAGGGACTCACCCATAATAACGTTAGCATGTGAACCAGTGTGTTAACATCTTAATAACGTAATCACAAATGTTAAGTTCTCACCTGTGTGAAGCTGTCTGGAGTTGTGTTCAAGATGCTGTTGAGCTCTGTAAACATAGCTAACTTTAACCTCACTAGCTAGCCTAACTGTGAATAATACAACTAAACAGGCTGTTAGCGAGCTAAAATAACGTCACGAAATAGGACTTAATCTCAAAATGTGTCTTGTTAATTCATCGGTTAAAATGTAACGTCAAAGATTCTACTTTACTCCATAATTTCCCTTGTTTTTCTCCCAATTAGCTCTCTGTGCTAACGTCAAGTAGCATGCTAGTTACCAAAGACGAGTAGAACCGTTACAGGAGGTCTCACTCCTGAGGAATCCTTTGGCCCACGGAGGAGAAGCCGTTAGTAGCGTCTTTACTGCTAAATAAATATCTTACGTTACAAAAACATTTTTTTTACCCAGTTTTATTAATTCTAGACGACTACATAAAAACAAACATTTTTGAAGACTGAATTATAAGTTTTCACGAGTGTTTGTTTTTCCCCCCATGGTGACAGCTGTGTACAGCCATCTTAATAGACGATCTTTGCGTGCACATTGTGACTTCGATGTGTTTCCGTCCTTGTTAAATTGAGATACCGCCTCCTGTTGGCAGTACACTGTAAATGAGTAATATTAGTAGCAGTGGTAGTAGTTGAGGTGCTATGTTCACTAGAAATAACAGTTACATGTAGGGATGAAGTCAGCCACAGATACATTAAAGGAGATATCTGCCTCAGAGAAACCAAACATGAACTCTGCTCATCATTCTTCTACTCTAGATCAACATTTTCTTTACATTTGTGCATTTTTAGCATCAAAACCTGACATTATTAACTGCTAATCTGTATGTCAGCATCCTCTGCTATAGGGTCTCTTCTGTGTTCAACCTGTAAAACCTTGAGATAATGTTCTCCTGAGATACCAGGAAACCAGATGTGAACCTCTTTCATATCGTCACTTTCCTTTGCTTTTCATATCGATTCATAGTAGACATTATTGAGCAGGAAGTCTTACTTTATGTTAGGAAATATGTTAAAAACATTAGAGCATAGCTTTGATTCTGCACAACCCTGCTTTATAAGCAAAACATAATAAATCATACACTAAAGATGGAATATGGAGGGATCATTGTCTTTTTAACACGGGGTAATCTGCACAAATTAGCTAAATTTACATTTTGAAATTTAAGGAATATTTATAGTTGTGAACCATCAACCCCTAGAATTATTGACCCTGTACATTCACTTCACATGAAGTAAATATTTGAAAATATGAGTTTTTATTTTCCAAAGTGGAATCAGCATCAAGTCACAGTTAAGTAGAAGACGCGATTAATGAAGAAGCGCTCATCAGGAGGTACTGAATAAACTCACACCAGGTTATTTTCTTCCACTGCAGAAGCATCACTGACAGGGTTGCACATCATAATATTATTTTTTTGTTATATTTCAAGTGTATAATACAGAGCATTTTAAATTCAGCTCTCATAGGGGTAATTTAAAAGGCAAAATAGAGACATTAAAGCAGCTATAATATATTTTTATAACAACAATGTCCCAAATAACAGTGTGACAATGCGGGAAATGCGACAATCACCTGAAACTGCAGCTCCCCTCGTATTTATCGAGTTGTATAGTTCACTCTCAACGCTCTCATTGCTTCGTTTTCAGAGAAAAAAAGCTGTAAAACCAAACAGCAGACAGACACAGTATAGCGACTATAGCTGGTGATCATACTGGAGCTAAAAGATATCAATTTTAGCATCCACTCCTGATGATCATTGATGATCGATGCCAACAAAAGTATATTGTGGCTCTGCATTCACTAAACCTGCATGAAATGTATCTTTCTTTTTTCTTAAGTTCAGGCTGGTTCATGTATGTAGTCCATCTTGTACTGCAGAACAGCTGGATGAAACACTCTCAAGTAAAATGGGAGAGAGAACAATAACAACTGATTATGTCTTTAATCAGCAGATGGCAGTGTGTTGCTCTCAATATATCAAATACACCAAGGTCACAAATGCAATGAATTTGCATTTGAATCTTTAAACATGTTCCACTAAACATGTTTGCACTGCGGTTCAACTCACAAGTTTGAGTAACTACACCTGACTGGATGCTTCCCATCTCAGTTGTTTCTGTGCGACAGCAAGTGTTGTAGTCAAGTCACTGAACATCACATTTGTCACATCAAAAGATAGTTTAATAGTTAGTATTTTGGCTCTTTGTTGTTCGCTTTAGTTGAATAATTCGTTTTTTTGACTTGTCTTTAAAATGTCCTGCAGAGAGTAGAGCTGCTTTGATAGTTTTGTTTTTCGCCACTTGGGGGCAGCAGAACAAACAGATCACTAACAAAGCGCGTGAGGAAACGTTTACACATTTAACAGATACCCAATTAGCATTCAGAGCTGTGTTTGTGTCCACGTGGTGGAAAATAAGTAGAACATCCACTCTCCTTCTAGCTCTGTTTTGGTCTCCACCTACTCAAATTTCCTGGTGTTGAAGCTGCTATATGCTCCACTTTGTCTCTGACTTTGTCCACCTGCTGTTTGGTGCTGGGCAGGAAGCATGAATATATATATCTAGAACTCTATCTGGAATTTATAAGGGGTGTTTTTCTCTGACAAGAAAGTCGATGAGAGCGCAGAAACTGAACCAAAACAGTAAAGCAAGAGGCTGTAAAAGCCAAACACTGAGCTGAATGTTGCTAAAAGGCTCTGTAGGGCTGAGGGGAAGTGCAGAGTCATGTGGTACTGTAGGTAATGCAACACCTTATATATTTAAATGTAATCATTTGATCTGTTTTTAATGTGAGATATTGGTTAGCGTAGCTTTACACATGTTTGCATGTTTGACTGTAATCTTGACCAACCAGGTAATCAGCTACTTATTAGGGCCATGCTTTAAAAAAAAGCATCAAAGGTTAATCATTTCAAGTTCTCTGAATAATAATCCAAGGCAGCTCGTCTAGCAGGGATCAATAAAGTATCACATAATTAATATTCTACACATACCAGGACCAGAGTACACACACTGTGTCGTGTGAGAATACAGAACAATCCGATGAGCTGCCATTGACTTGTCGTTTGGCAAACTGCCTGCTTGTTAATTATTGGCCCAGACACACAAATGTAGAAATAACAATGCTTGTGTGTCTGTCTTTGTGGTTAAAAACTCCTGATTCCTACAGTCCCTGAAGTGTTCCTGAGCAAGACCCTGAGGTTCAATACTGTCACAATGCAGCGCGGTGTAATCCTCCTCATCAGTTTATAACCAATTAAGTGAAAATTGGTGGTAAAATAAATAAATGGCAAAAGCATTATTTCCTTCTCTTTTCAGAATAACAAAGTCCTAACATCTCAATGTTAGTGTTTGTGTTATTGGGCAGTAATCGGCACATAATATGAACAAATAATACAAATAAAACAACCATCAAATTGCTACGACTTTTGCTGTTAAACCCGGCAACATAACAAGTGGGTACATATTTCCTGAGGACACCGTAAGTAGCGGTTTTCCGGTTAAGAACATTCATGAGTTTTTGGAAACGGAGACATTTTTGACAGCATCCACTTGGTCCATGTTTGTCCTACAGACAGAACTGTACTGTTCCAAGTCCAAAATCCCACACAAATTCTTCTGGACACTATAGTTTTCCTTAAAAAAAGGAACTTCTGGTAAACGGCAACCAAATGCAACGAGTACATTCACAGGACACGTTTCAAGATGACGGCCAGGACAACGAGAGATATGAGGGGCAGTTCACCGGGGGCTGTAGGGGCTCCGAGTCCTCGGCCTGGACCGCTGACGCTCGTTGATCGCGTTGGCCGGCAGCGAGCGAGTGCTGAGGGGGCTGCAGATAGAACAGGGGGGAGAGGGAGGGTACATGTCGTCCTCCCACCTCAGGACCCGGCCCTTGGCTCTGCTGGGGCCTTTAGGAGTCCTGGCGCGGGGCCAGTTGGCGACTCGGGGTTTGGTCTCCGGCACCCTGTGGAGGTAGACGTCGTAGTGGGCAAACGGAGCCTTGGAGGACTTGAACTTGGTCCCCTTGGCGAGGTGGAGCTCCAAGGCGATGGTCACCTTACAACGCAGGAACAGACATGCAAAAGTAAACTGACAGAGACACATGAACACACAGGACATATGCAAATCAATACCCATTTTGTTACAAATTAAAAAACATCATCATTTCCCAAAGCGAACGGTTTGGTGACATCACTCTCAGCCAGTCACTCATTCACATGAGGTGCAGGATGGAGAAAGGGAGCAGGGGGGAGGGGGGGTGGGGTTTACGTTAGACTGTTAATGTAGCACCACATTTCCATCAGAAAAGAAGCCAAAGGGTCCTGTTCTGATCAGCAGCATTCCTCAGAGCCTCATTAGTAAACTAGACGGTGCCAGAGCGATTCATTTAGACCTTACCCCCCCCCCCATCGCTTCTCTCCTCTTTCCTTTTGCTTTCAATCCCTCCTTTGTAAGGCACACTGTGCACTCGTGTGCGTGCATGCATGTGATTCTAAATCAAGCGTGCACACATATGTGTGTTTTGTGTGTTAATACGTGCATGTATGTATAGATCCAACGAGCATATTTTGTGTTAATTTGAGCATTTTGCACATATACATGCATGACTTTGTGTGTGTGTGTGTGAGTGTGTTTACCCCCCCATCATCATGCACTACTATGTGTGTGTGTGTGCGCCCGCATCAGCCAATCATGACGAGACCTTCAGGATCCCAACACAATCATTCCACCACATCGTCAGCCAATCACAGGCTGCTGATGAATCCCAAGTCCCAGCAGGTTTGACTCGGAACAGCAGAGAGAAGAAAAAAGAAGAAGAGAGAATCTTGACATGCCTCCACCATGTTCTCTGTTTCCCAGTTCTCATACCCTCGTTACCCTCCTCACCCTCCTCACACATTTTTATACCTCAGAGCTATTTGTGTATAATTTTAAGCTTCTCGTATTTTACTACTTGTAATCTATCTCACATGAGAATCTACATTTTGTGCCACTTTTTTACTTCTACTTCACTTATCTGATGTTTACAGTTACTAGATACAGTTTAAGGTTTTACATACAAAACATAATCAACTAAAATAGGATGCTGATGGTGTTATAGATTAAACCAGTTGTTTCCCAAATCTGAGAGGTCATGAGATGTCAAATGAGTTGTAGAAATTAAGAAAATACATCATATTTGTTGATATTTTGCAGCAAAACACTGAATTCTTTTCCCTCCTTTGGTCTCTAGTAGTAATTAAAAATGAAACAATCGACTTCTTGACATGTTCATCCTGGGACAAGTGATCACAAATACAGAAGACAGTGCTGTGTGTGTGTGTGTGTGCGTGTGCGTGTGTGTGTGTGTGTGTGTGTGTGCGTGTGTGCGTGTGTGTGTGTGTGCGTGTGTGTGTGTGTGCGTGTGTGCGTGTGTGTGTGTGCGTGTGTGTGTGTGTGTGTACAGCTGTGCAGGACAGGATTAGTCTCATCTGAAGAGATTGCAGGGTGTGACGTTCAACCCTAATGTGAAGCCGAGAGCAGTTTTAATGCTCTGATACGTTACAGTTTGTACTAACGACGATAAAGCTGCATGAGAGTCACTTAATCTGCCTCGTCCATGCATGTGTGTGTGTGTGTGTGTGTGTGTGTGTGTGTGTGTGCGTGTGAAGGCGGAGAAACCCGGAGGTCACCGAGTTTGGATCTCGTCTGCTCAGACTGTGGGATCAGGATGGGTTTCCATGGCAACAACGCCCTCTTCTGTCTGAAGATGCATTAAAATAAGAGGATAAGAGAGAGAGAGAGAGAGAGAGAGAGAGAGAGAGAGAGA